CCTCTAGAGTCTGTCACCTGTCCTCTGGAGTCTGTCACCTGTCCTCTAGAGTCCGTCACCTGTCCTCTGGAGGTTCTGTCACCTGTTCTCAAGTATTCAGCCTCCCACTGAGGGGTAGTTGACTGAGGAGGGTTCCAGTTCCTTCTAACGACAGCACTAATGTTTACTGAGGAATCATTGTACCAGAACCTTGCTGGGCCTAGCACCCACTCCACCCTCATCAAAATCTACGAAGAGTCACCCCACTCTTCACACAATTACTGTGGCCCAGAGACCTGGTTGGTTAACCAGGGTCTTCCAGACAGTGGGTTGTAGGGAAATATTTGGACAGAGATAGCTGGGCTTCAAAGACTATGGTAACAGTTTCCTTCGGTGAGCGCCTCTCTTCGGAGTACACAGAAGGCAGAGACAACTTCTTCCATTCCGTAGCTTACCTGCGTTAAGCCACCGATCTTCCCTTCTGTATCTTCCAGTGGGAGACATGACCACATCCATTTTGGCATTCACCCTCCTCCCAGATAGTGGAGCAACTGCAAGGGTAGCAGGCTCACCCACTCCTTACCCTCCACCTGGTCCACAGAGAGACTGGGGTGCGGGCAAGAGTGGAGAGCCCCCCCACCTCCCAGGCACTGGCACAGAGTGTAAAAATGAGTCTCAGGTAGAGGTAATAGACACGGGAGGAGAAAACTCTTTCAGGCATGGGGACCTTCTGAAGTAGGGCACACGACCCCAGCGGCTCTCCCGAGCCTGGGTCTAGTCCAGGCACAGGATATGACGGAAGAACTGTGAGCATGCTCATTCAGGTATTTGTTCTTCATTTCGCCAAACGACAGACTCTTCAAGGACACTTGGGGAACAGGCGCTTCTGGGTACCCACTGGAGATGGACCCATCCTCAAATCATTGCTTGGAAATCAGAGACCCCCACGGTACCTTCTTACTTAGGTTTGGGTCATTATGAGCCAACAGACTGGAGCAAGGAGGGAAAGATTGTTGGTGACTCCAAGCTTCAGAGGGCTTTCAGCCTGCCTGGCAGGGAGGTAGGAAGGAGCGCTGTGTCCTTAGGAGTGGGACCACTAGCCGGAGCATCTGCTCACATGCTGGCTGATCTAGAAGTAGAAAACAGAGGCCAGGACCAGGGTCCACCCCAAATGCCTCTTTCTACCAGCCAGGCCCCATCTCTTAAAAGCCCCATAGTCTTCAAAACAGTACCAGCACCTGGGGACTGAATTTTCTGAACACAAGCCTGTGGAGGTGTTTCAAATGCAAACCACTACAGCTGCCTTCAATACAGCCTCCACAAGGAAGATATTGGCACAGTGACTCTACCTAGGCATTGGGGGACAGTAGGTGGCTGCTGGCACCCTGTCAAGTCCTCCTTGTGGACCGTGTACCCAGTGCTCAGCCTGCCTTCTTCCTTACCCATCCATCCCAAGGAAGCTGCATGCTGGCTGTAGCTCAGTTAAGCTGAAGGTGTGGAGAGCCGCTTTCCCCTTCTTCTCGCCTTTTCAAACAGCATCAGGTCGTGGGGACATGGACCCCTGGAGTTATCCTCTTTGAGGAGCAGGCAAAATATTACAAAGGTCACACACACAGATTTGAAGCCAGATTCATCTTGGTTCCAATCACGGCTCTACCCCGTGGGCAAGTGTCTTAATCTCTCTGGGCTGCGGCTCCCCCACCTGCACACAGTGGAGGATTAGAGGACCTTCCTCGCAGGGACACGGTGACAGTGAAACACACGGATGACTTCAAGGCTCTTAGCCTCGCGCCTGGCACATCGGAGCCCGCAACAAATGGCGGCTGTTACTACAATGGTATCAAACGTGTTTTTCATCACATTCCTGGTCTTTGAAAAATCAGAGTGAATTTAGAGTCAGAGGACCTGGCTTAGAATCGGGTCCTGTCTCACCTCGCCGTCCTTTATGTCCATCTGTATTCCCCAGGCCTCCCTTTCCTGGTCACTGAGAAAGAATGTCTGCCCTACTGTGTTGTGAGAATCAAATACCACGGAGGACGGACAAGAGTTTTGAGCGTCAAGAGCAGTGTAAATGAAGATCAGGAGCCCAATGTTCCTGCCCGCTTTCATCTCTCTAGGATCAGCGCAGCCTGGAACTCAGCTCCCTCCTAAACCCCAGTCTTCTAGAATCTCTTTGCCTTTAGTATTTCCCCCAACCCCCTGTTCAAATCTTTTTGAGTTTTCCTGCTTGCCAGTGCAATTCTATGTCTCCCAAGAACCAGCCTGTGTCTCATATCACTTACACTGATCAAAGAACCATTCTCTGTCCTGGGGATGGGCTGGCTTCCTGTGGTCATCACCTCACCCTGTGTGTACATGGGCTAGCTTTCTGTGGTCATCACCTCACCCTGTGTGTGCAGCTCGAAGGGGAGGAGGTAGAAGTCAGCCGGTGACTTTGTCATAGAAGTTGAAATCCACTTAGCTCCAAGCCAAGCCTTTAGTCTCATGGAGATGGACTGGTGTCACCTCTCCTCCATGTGCACCCTGTCTAAATTAACTCTCATTACTATTTTATTCTCACCTCACACAACAGGAAAAACAATACAAGGATTCCACCTTGTATTGAGACCCATCTCCCAATACCTCTTAGATCTTACCGTGTAGGCATTTCACTCCTAAATAACTACAAGAGATTTAATATCAATTATAAATGTTTGGCTGACAGCTCAGGCTTTTTAACTAGCATTTATAACTTAGATTAGCCCATTTCTACTCATCTGTGTATTGACACATAGCTCACGATTTTCCCTGTCCTCCAGCATGTCTTGCTGCTTCTGTGTCTCCTGGTGACTCCACTGACTCCACCCTCCTCCTTCCCATCATTCTCAGTTTGGCTTTCCCATCTAACTGTAACCCGTTCAGCTATTGGTCAGAGACTTGTTTATTAAACGACTCATAGTGGCATATATTCACACAGTGTAAGGAATATTCCACCCTAATGGAGTGCTGAGAATACGGTAAGCAACTGAACAGGCAGAGGCCTATGCTCAGGGGAAATGCCATAGCAGATGATGGCAGCCAATGGCTGGAGTGCCGTGAGGTGGGAAGCCCACTCACTTGGTCAGAAGAGGGGGCCTCAAAGACATAGATATTTGAGCGGTTTTACTTGCTGGGACACTTTTCAAGGCGTGCTTATTTCTATTCATGGGGGAGAAGGCAGAGAAACAGAGAGACAGGGCAACAGGTCACCGAAGAAACAGATCCCCCAAATTTAGCTTGCTGAACCAATGAGTTTTTCTGGTGACAGGTGCAAGGGTGAGCAGTGACTAATGGGGAACAAACAACACGAGCAACTGCGTCACCAAAATGTCCACCCCGACATAGGTAAACGCTCAGAGGCTGTGTCCCCAAGTCTGCCAGCTCCACAGAGTGGTTCTGCCAGGCTAGTGGTCACTGGTTATATAAATTAACCCCAGAAGAGACCCCCATGGGAAGCCTGTAGGTGTCTTGTTTCCCACAGGGTGATGATTCTCTCTGCTCCCTCCAGGGTGGAAGAATTCAACCTGGGGCACCCGCTCGACAACACGCCTGAACAAGAGAGGAAGTGAGTGGTGTGGATTCTGGGGATTGAAGAAGCAGGAGGGACATTCCAGACCTAGGGATGAGAAAACCTAGTGAGTGTGCATGTGCAGAGTAGTGGGGGAGACTAGCCTGGCTGACGCAGGGCAGGGGGAGTCAGGAACAGCTGAGGCCAGGTGGAGAATTCATGACTGGCAGGAGGTAAGAACTCCCTGGGGCATCCATAGTCAAACACAAGTATGACTCAGTCTTTGTCTTTCTGGGGATTCTGTGTCAGTCAAGAGGCACAGTCCTAGGTCTCGAGGCTCTGACTTGACAGCCTTCCTATGGCCCATCATAGTTGGGCTATTTCAGCGGGGAAGAGGGCTGTTGTGGGCAGTGATGGAGGGCAACCATGGGCCGAGTGTGAGCTTGCTGACGCGCCAGAGAAGAAGGATCTGTGGTCATTCCCAGATGGTGTCTATGGCAGCCTCATGCACTAGGAGGAGATGGAAGGACCCTTGGACAGGGTGTCTCCGCTGAGATGAACTTGCATGAGCAATTTACACGCGTGCTTGAGGAACCAGAGTCACACTAGCTGTGTTAGAGTCGACCTTGCACAAGGGAACAGGTGACCGCTGCCTCTTCTTGCGGGAAGTGAGGAAGTGTAGGCTCATGACTTGGCAACCCTATTCTTTCTTTCATGCTGCGTCTTTGCCGGGCCAGAACTGACTGAGGAATGAAAATGCATAAAACACAAAGGGATCCTGCAACCTCTGTGTGTGTGTGGGGGTGCGGTTTTAGAGGGAAGCTGAAGACACAAATTCCAAGGGGACAAAGTGTGGCTGCAGGCAGCAGCTTTCCAACGCTCACTTGCTGGGGAAGCCAGAAGCCTCGTTTCCAGTGTCTGCCCAGTCTTACTTCTCCATACGGCCAGGCTTGGCATGAAGCAGACAGGAGAGGTGGAGAAATCAGGGTAGAGACCTGACCCCCCACTCATGAGTATTTTCCCCGGTTTAGGGGGCGGCATGGCCCCAAGCTGTCTACCCTCTAAATCATCTACTCAGGGACCACAGAATACACAGTGGTGTCCTGAGGAAATAATAATGGGCATGTCCTCCACCCCAGAATCCCTACAGGGAGACTTACCGTCCCCTAGATGGGGATTAGAGCTAATAAATCAAACATCAGGATTCAGGATACACACATAGCATCGGGGCTACACACACACACACACACACACACACATACACACATACACACATACACACATACACACATACACACATATACAAACACCACACACACATACATGCACGCACACACATACACACATAAACACATACACACACAATACACACAAATACATACACACTATACACATACATACACACATACACGCCACACCCATACACGCCCATACATACCATACACAGACATACACGCACCACACAGACATACACACACACCATACATATACACACATACACACACATACACACTGAGACACATACATACACACACACGCACGCACCCCCCCCACACACACATGGCTTGTCAGAATAAAGAAGATCCACCAGCCTCTGCTTAGGCACCCAGTCAATGGCAGGAAGGGTCCTGCAATAGGTCCTTAGGCTAGAGAAGGAAGGGGTCACACAGGGAGTATTTAGAGGCTGGAGAGATGGCTCAGTGCTTAAGAGTATTGCCTGCTCTTTCAAAGGTCCTGAGCTCAATTCCCAGCAACCACATGGTGGCTCACAACCATCTGTAATGAGGCATACAAACAGACAGAATATTGTATACATAATAGATAGATAGATAGATAGATAGATAGATAGATAGATAGATAGATA